ATTCTGGATGGGAATGCAGCTGACCTACAGGCTGAATGCGACGCCTTTGAAGAGAAGATCAAGGCTGCAGGTGGGATCGAGCTATTTGTTGGAGGTGAGTGTGGGAAGGAGGACAAGACTCCGTCCCTGTCTCCAAACAGCTTCCTCTGTCTGCTAATGACAGTAGGGCCGCTTAACGCTTTGTGGAGGCAGGGAAGACATGGAGAAAGTGGGAGCCCTAGGTCCCTGCCCTGGCTCTGCTACTCGGGAAATGGGTTATGTTGGAGATCGCCTATTCTGGCATTTGATGCTTTGTCTGTAAATTGAGAGGTTCGGTTTTGGACTCTGAGAATCTCTGCACTCCCCAGCCTTAAGATTTTATGGGTCAGTCATGGAACTTATCTAAACATTTAAAGTCACGGACTCATGTAGTTCCAGAAGATTCCACACAGCCTCTGCATGCTATATAGATAGCCAGTTGAACCCCAGAGAAGTTATGTGATTCACTCAAAGTCAGCCAGCTGGGAGCAGTGGCCAAAAAGCGGGACCTCGGGCGTCTGCCTCTCAGATCTGTGCTCGTTCCTGCTTTGGGCTGCCCTTGTATGTGTCCATCTCTTGCCACCTCTGGAGTCACCCACAGGGGTGTAAAGTTGGGCTGCCTTTTACTGCTCTAGATCTAACTCTTCTGTATGTCAAGGTGGGGAAGAGGAGAGCAGGAGCTGTCATGTTCTGAGATTTTATAAACTTGGCAGCCCCTGGCTGGGTCCTGTGTGTGTTTCATTTTGCTGCAACTCCATCCCCGCCGTAGGACCCCCAGACTATAGGCAGGAGAGAGACAGAAGTTACACTTTCCCGACAGTCTGGGGAGGCAGAAACTATTTGGAGTGCTCCTTACTTAGCTTTCGGAGGGTGATAGCAAGTGAACAGTGTCTATGTGGGCCTCAGAAGTGGCTGGGATGGGGCGGGTCACATGCTTCCTTAAGGCATACCTGCCCAGGGGCGCAATGGGAAGAGAGATACAGTTTTCGAGGACTTTTTTTCCAGACCCTAGTTAGGGAAGGAGAGATCTGCATCCTTGAAATCTTGGATCCCCAGCACTCACCGCGCCGCCCTGGCTCTCTCCCCGTAGGGATCGGCCCCGATGGACACATAGCCTTCAATGAGCCGGGCTCCAGTCTGGTGTCCAGGACCCGTGTGAAGACGCTGGCCATGGACACCATCCTGGCCAATGCTAGGTTCTTTGACGGAAAGCTCGCCAACGTGCCCACCATGGCCCTGACGGTGGGCGTGGGCACCGTCATGGATGCTAGAGAGGTAAGGGCGAAAGGGGTCCACCAGCCTTGGCGGGGTAGGGTGGACTTGTCTTTTTGTTGTTAATTTTAACTATAAAGGTACCACCCGAATACATTCTTGTTAAGATGAAGACATAAATAAAGCTAAAATCCCAGCTGACCCTGTCACCGTTCATCTTTCCTCTCCAGAGGTAACCATTGTTCCCAGTGTGAGGTGAATCCTTTGAGCACTTTTTCGAAGCCTTTGACCCAACTGCCCAGGGCTGCAGGCTCCCTGGTCTCTGCTTATGTGCCCTTCTGTGCTGCTCCCAGGCAGAGAGGAGCCCAGCACCATTAGTGTTGCGATGTGAATTTGTACCTGCCCGGGTACTGAGAGGGACTTTCTTGTTCCCTGTTGGTGGAGGTCGTTGTTTGAAGGGATGCCAAGGATGTTTGTGGGTATAACCCTATGCTCAGAGATTAATAAATACGGTGAAGTATGATTAAAATATAGTGTCTCAAACTGAATTTAGTGAGTTTTTCCCCTAAAAAATTTGGTATCATTTGAACTTGAATTTTTTGCAGTTCTAATTTCCTTACTGTCTTTCATTAAAATTTCAGAAGCATTTTCTCTTCCTTTCTGAGGTATATTGGGTGAGAAGTGGCTACAGACATTTTAGCTGTAAATTTCTTTGTCCAAGTCTATAAACAAGCACCTAAATCAGTGAACACTTCTCTGTTTAAAGTGAACCTTTGTGAAATGAGTAACCTCAAATCAGTACCTAGGGGGATACTCTGCTATTTTGGGCCTTGCAGCTTGTAAACACTAGGGTTTGAGGGCTGGCCTTATCCGTGTGAGGTTATCTTGATCTGGGAAAGGACCTGGGGCTGGCAGTAGGAAATTCTCTTTTCTAAAATGAGTTCTGGCCCAGGCATCGTGGCTCACGCCTGTATTCCCAGCACTTTGGGAGGCTGAATCGGGAGGATTGCTTGAGGCCAGGAGTTCAAGACTAGCCTGGACAACATATTGAGACCCCCATTCCTAAAAAAAAATGAGAAAAAATTAGCCAGGTGTGGTGACCTATGTTTCTAAAAAATCAATCAATAAATAAAATGAGTTCTGGGTTGCTAAGGGGTCCCGAATAAATAGTCATATCTCTCTATGCCTCTATGTTCTCATCTTTTAAGAAAGGAATAGTAAATCCTGTTCAAAACTCTGTGATACAAGTGAATTAAAACAAAAGGAAATTTATAGAGCTGAGTTTGTCGGGGGCGGGGGTTGTTTTGTTTTGAGAAAGGGGTCTCACTGTGTCCCAGACTGGGGTGCAGTGGCAGGATCATAGCTCACTGCAGCCTAAGACTGTGTGTGCGCCACACAGTCTGGCTAATTTTTAATTTTTTTTTTTTTTTTCAGAGATGGGGTCTCACTATGTTGCCCAGACTGGTCTTAACACTTACGGCTTCAAGTGACCCTCCTGCCTCAGCCTCCCAAAATGTTGGGATTACAGGCATGAGCCACTGTGCCCAGCCTAGAGCTGAGTTCTTCAGGATCACTTATGTTCTTGATATTTTTTAATTGTTAAGTGGAGTCTGTGCCTTTCTTCTATATGAACAAAAAGCATCACCCTCCAAGTCACGTTAGTTAGTAGGTTTACTGCTCTGAACTGAAGGTGACCAGATTAAGGGGCAGCCTGTCTGGGATTGAGCCATAGGGGCCCACAGATAATTCCCACCATTGCTTCCAAAGCCCCGCGGTGGATGGTACAGATTGGGACCCCTCTTTCACAGACTGTGAAAAGTCACTCAGCTGTCGGGATAAGAGGTGTGGGCCTTTGCATGGCATGTCTGATCACAGGGCACCATCACAGTCATCATCAAACATGCCTGGAAGCCCTGTCATGTGGTGGTCAGGAGCATGGACTGTGGGGTCACGAATAACCCTGGGCAAGTTACTTAAGCCCCTGGAGCCCCATTTCCTTATATGACATGGGGATAATGACCCTTCCTCAGGTTATCTGGGTGGATGAAGCACGTGGAGCACTGGGCATGGAGCATGTTGCATAGCAACTACTTACAGCGTTTGGGGCGGCTGGACTCCTCCCCTCCATCACGGGCTTGTTTTCTGGTCCCCAGGTGATGATCCTCATCACAGGTGCTCACAAGGCGTTTGCTCTGTACAAGGCCATCGAGGAGGGCGTGAACCACATGTGGACCGTGTCTGCCTTCCAGCAGCACCCCCGCACTGTGTTCGTGTGTGACGAGGATGCCACCTTGGAGCTGAAAGTGAAGACCGTCAAGTATTTCAAAGGTGAGGGAGGGTGGCTCTGGGAGGAGGTGCTCAAGCTCAGGGTGTGCCAGGAGTGAGGAGAGGATCTAGCTTTCATGCTCTGCCATTTTTATTGACAATAAAAAGCGATCTTAATAAAAATCACAGTACACAGCCATTTCTCTTCCACCCGTAACTGCAAGGGTCCATTTTTGGAGATCTGTTTGCTCTGAGGAGGAAAGAAAAATGCAGAGTTGCAGTCCAAGGGCGATGCGGTGACGTCCTTGCAGTGATACTGAGCTTCAGGTTTTCTCTTTCCAGTCTCAACAGGCCTTTCCCCGCTAGGCGAAGCGCTCAACTAGTTATCATGAGGCTCTTGTCTTTTACTTTAAAAGGATACGTACTGCTTTAGGCAGACTTAGGTGAAGATTCTCCTTTACTAAGCAGGTAAATTAGCAATTTGTTCTTTGGTGAAAAGATTTACCTTTAAATAGCCAACTCCCATAGTGACTGAATTTATAAAAGTTCCATGAACTCTAGCACTGAGAATAAGAAATTCTTTTCCTACCCTTAGGGTGTTTTTTTGGGGATCACAGAGGAAAGAGAGAAGTGTCAGTTCTAGGACAAAATTTGAGAGCTCCTGGATGTTATTGTTGATAATGGTGGAACTCTTGCCTCTACTTGCATTAACTACTTTTTGTTTTGAATTTTTTGTAGGTTTAATGCTTGTTCATAACAAGTTGGTGGACCCCTTGTACAGTATCAAAGAGAAAGAAATTGAGAAAAGCCAGTCTTCTAAGAAACCATACA